CGTGTAGCTGACTCCATTCCAACACTACATGGTCTCCCGAACACCTCTGGGTATGGCCCAAATCCCCACCCCACAAAAATAAATGATTCCGGGTATTCTGAACATACAAGCTATAGCAGCTTCTAGCTTATATTAAGACAGACATCTAATAGTGAGGCAGAAACTACATACATGGTAAAATTTCATAAATGAATTAATACAAAAACATGGACCAAGGAAATAGTTTAAAGGACTGGAGCACACCCCTGGCATGCACAGGCCCCTGATTTGGACCCCAGCACCAAATGGCCTCCATAGTACCACCAGAGATAGTCCTGAGGACTTTCATCCCCACCACCCAAAAAAGATCTCCAAAATGATAAAAAGAATGTAATCACAAAAGAGGGAAAAAAATATTCAGAAAATACTGACTTACAAAATGGTTTAAAAGAACATAGTATTTTCAGGAGTAAAAATCTTTAAAATCATGTTCAGAGAATAATCATTAAGGCAACAAAGTCTGTATCAAATTGGTCACTACCTTTTTATCCCTTTGAGTTCTGACAAAACAAAGCTTATGGAACTCTGAAAACAAAACGTTCCCAATTTCAAGATGTTTCTAAAAAAAGAAAAATGAATCTGTCAGTCTGCTTTAATATTAAAGCTAAAATAACCAACTCACAAATGATGGCAAATTTAAGGCATTTTTTGAAAATATTTTATTTTAAAAATTTATTTCAGGTTGTGGGGCCACACACAGTGGTATTCAGTACCAAGCAATGCTAGGATCAACCAGGGTTAGCCTTACGCAAGGGAAGCTCCTTAAGACTCCTATTCTCTCTCCATTCCTTATGTGTACTAAAGAGTTCTTAAGCAAATTAGACTTCATTCAGAACATGGCTTGGCTTTTCCACTATGATAAACACAAGTGTGAATCAAAAGGTCCCCACCTGCAAGCAGGTGGAGGTGTGAGGAGAGGTCGATCAGGGGTGAACAACAGACACACAGCTGCCATTTCTCCTAGCCACAATTCTCCATAATGCAGAAGGATCACTAAAGAGGCAATTCTGGGAGCCAGCAAGGTGGAGAGCATACTTTGCCTTTCGATCCCTGGCACAGCATGATTCCTCAAGCACCTCCAGGAAAGGCAGGTAGGGCACTTGACTTATGTGTAGCCGACCTAAATTTGATCCCTGGCACCACATATGGTCCTCCAAGCCCGTTCAGGAGTGATCCCTGGGTGTAAAGACTAAAGCCTTAAGTATTGCCAATTGTGGCCTCCCCTCAAAAAATCTTTTTGAGACAATTCTAGAAATCTAATTTTCCTGCTTTATACCCTCCAACTGCTTCCCACTGTTCTCAGAATGAACACCGAAGGTCTCGGGTACTTCGGAAAATACTCAGGCCCAGTATATTACATTTTTGATTTGGGGGGTTGTTTAGAGTTTTTTTTTGTTTAGTTTTTTTGTTTGGTTTCAGGGCCATGCCCCAGGGCTTACTCCTGGCTCTGCACTCAGGAATCCCTCCTGACAGGGTTCAGAGCTGGGTGCTGGGAATAGAATTCGGTCAGCCACATGAAGGGCAAGCAAGCACCTTACCTGCTGTACTATCACTGTTGGATCTTTTGCTACTGAAGATTTTTTATATTTGTTTTTGTTTATGTATTTTGTTTTTAGGCCATATCTGACAATGGTCAGAGGTTAATCCTGGCTCTGCACTCAGGAATCACTCCTGGCAATGCTCAGAGGATCATATGGGATGCTGGAGATCAAACCTGGGCCCACTTGCAAGGCAAACATCCTACCCACTATACTTTCACTCTGGCCCCCATATTTGTTAATGACAGCATTAACAAAACTTGTTTGTTTGGGGGAGTCACACATCTTATAATGTCCAGAGTGCTATTCCTGGCTGTGTGCTTAGGGGAACCTGCAGTGCCAGGAATCAATCCTGGAACTCTCATATGCAAAGCATGTGTTCAGCCCACTGGGGTCTCTCCAGTTCCTTGAAGTAACTTAGAAGCTGGAACGATAGATAGCACAGTGTGGAGGCACATGCCTTGCAAGCAGTCAACCTGGGTTCCATGTCCAGCATCCCGTATGGTCCCCAGAGCACCACGAGAAGTAGTTCCTGAGTGCAGAACAAGGGGCAATCCCTAAGCATCAATGGGTATGGCCCCAAAAGGCCCCCAGATAAACCCCAAAAAAAGTTGCAAACTGAAAGGATCTCACCCACAAGGAGCTTCTAATCCTTGATGCTTGATCACTGGCGCTAAGTACAGAAAAACACACAACACCACAACACAACCTCAGAAATTAAGGCAAGGTGGTAGCACACCTTCAGAGCATCCTTGTTCCCTTCTCCAGGAAAGAGTAGCCAGGGCAGCCAGCAGAAGGGTGCAAAGGCACAAGGGGGTGAGAAGGTAGTTCCAGAAGGAAAGGACCTGAGTAACAGTACCATACGGAGGTCATTTGTCCAGCATAGTCCCGGGTTCTAACCCAGCACCCCCCAGAGTCCCCAGAGCCTGCCAGGAGTAATTCCTAAGTGCAGAGCCAGGAATAAGCCCTGATCATGGTTGGGTATGGTCCATTGAGTAAGAACTGAATCATCTTTCTGTTCCTAAGGAAGAAATTTATGTTGGGGGAGACGAGTCCAATCTCCATAGTGGAATTATCTTCCTTCTTTGATTAAGAGAACCTGGCTACTTCCTGACTTATTCTTGAATCTCTAGTTACAACATTCATTTTCTTTTTTCCTTTCTTTAGTTTTAGAGCCACTCCTAGCGTACTAATGGAACTATACGCAACGCTTAGGATCAAACCAGAGTCAATCCCATGCAGGGCAAGCACCTGATCCCCTGGTGCCATCTCTCCAGTTCCAGGAACATTTATTTTCTAATGAAGAGAACTCTAGAAATGGAATAGACCCAGAGAACTCAAGATGCACAGTAATGAAGAAGAAAAAGTCTTGGCAGGGCAGGTAGGGGAGATTTGGAGGATGCCACAATACCACCTCCATTAAAACCTAGAAGAGCAAAACGTCTAAATTGAACAAAATGAGATTACAATCAGATCTGGTGAGCTTAACCCTCTCTGAGGTCAGTGCCTCACTTACTGTGTACACTAAAATCAGCTCTTATAGAAAAAGAGAAGCTTTACCAGGCATCAAATTTTACAAAAGAGCATAAGCACCAAAACCTGTAATCTTGTTTTTAACAATGTGTTTTCCATGAACATGATGGGTGGTTTGTTTTCTTCTCTCGACCAGTCTTGAGTCCACTATCCACAAGATACCAGGATTTTCCTGGTAGCTTACCAACCTGGAAAGAAAACCCTTAAATATGACATAACTCTGCCAGAGTGCAAGCATGTTATGAAATCATATTTAAACTTGTGTCTTGGGGCCAGAGTGAGAGTACAGCAAGTAGAGCGATTGCCTTGCACTCAGCCAACCCGGGTTCCATCCTTGGCATCCCATATGGTGCCTGGAGCCTGCCTGATTCCTGAGTGCAGAGCAAGGAGTAACCTGTGAGCACCACTGGGTGTGAACCAACAACCAAAATAAATAAAACTTGAGTCTTTAACATTAGAATACTTCAATAAAATTTCAAGTAACACCTATACGGACTATCATGACGATCACTAAAATGAGATCTAAATTATAATCCTACAGCTATCACTACTTACAGAATGAACTCCAGCAAGATATTGTCAACTTTTGTGTTTATGTAAACTGTAGTAAACTCAATAATCGTTCCCAAACTCCTTTTCCTTCCATTGCTGTCCCTAGCAACATTAAACAAAAAACAAGGTTCTAGGACCAAATGGATCCTACAGCTGGACCTGGCTTGGTATCTAGCACGATGTGGTCTCCTAACATAAAAACCCAGGACAGTGTGGCCGCCCTCCCAAAAAAATCTTCTCCCTCTGCTGACAGATAATTTCAGCTTCCCTTCTACAAAGCACGTCAAAATTAATGCTAAGAAGCTTTCATTCCTACAACATCATCTATTTCCCTCTCCGGCTCAAATCACATCTAGTTTAAGTCCTTTCTTGAAATTCAAATCAACACTGTGTCCTCAGAACCAGCTCTCTCCAGACACAGGCAATCCAGCAGTCAGTGGACACATAAGACACCTAGCAAACACAACAAAAAATGTTCAACAACAGTACTGATGGAAACGGCAACCGCCTCTGACAATCCTCCTGGAGGAAGTAAAACAACGGCCTTTCTAACGCACACGGCAAGCCAACTTTCCCTCCCGACTTCAACTTTTCTGACGGCGGTGGCCGGAGGCCAGCCGGGCTGGCAGGGCGCTGGTGGCACGCGGCGCCAGGGTTCGAGCAGAGGCGTCCCATATGGCTCCCGAGCGGACAGGAGGCCGTCAGGGCGCCGCGGGGTGTGGCCCGCGAGTCCTTCAAAAAACAAGACCCGCAGAATTTCCCCAACTCCAGCTCGAAACGCAGCCACTCGCAAACAGGTGCAGGTTTCAAAGGGGGCCGGGAGGCGCGGCCCCGCGAGGGGAGGCCGCCCGACTCCGGGGTCGCGAGCCGGACCCCGGGGGGGGGGGGGGGCCGACGCACCGACGAGCCGCACTCGGCAACTCCAGCAAACTTGAGAAGCGCCGGGAGGGGCAGGCGCGTCCGACGCGCGGCCGCGGGGCCGGGCCGGCGGGGGGCGCGGGGCCCGGCCCGTGGGGCGCGGGCGGCGCTCCCACACCCACCGGCCGACTTCCCGCTTCCTGGTGCGGGTGCGGGGCGAGGCGCCGCACTGCGGGCCCGCGACGACGCACCCCCCAGGCCCAGCTCCGACCCGAGAACCGGCCCGGCCCGGCGCGGCCCCACGGCGGGCCCGAGCCCGGAGCCCGGAGCCCCGAGCCTGCCCCCGGCCCACGGCGCCCCCCGCCCGCCCGCCGCCGCGTCCTCGGGGAAGATGGCGGCCTGACAGGCGGGCGCGGCGGGGCGGGCGCGGCGGCGGGCGGGCCGGGCGGGCCGGGCGAGGGCAGCGCCCGCCGCGCTCACCTGTCAGGCCGCCGCCGCCGCCGGGGCTCCGCCGCAGCCCGGTGCCCGGCGACCGCGCGTCACGCGGGACGGGCCGTGAGGAGGGGCGGGAGACGCGCGCGGCGGCCCGGCGGGCGGCGGAGGCGGGCGCGGCGGGCGGGCGGCGGCGGCGGCGGCTCCTTCCCCTTTCGGGCCCGAAAATGTCTCAGCCTCGAGACTCTGGCGCCCCAACGCTCCTTCCCGTTCGCATGAGAACACACAGCTCCCGCTTCCGGGGCCCGGCGGAAGTCCCGCCCCGCGCGCCCGCGCGCCCAGGCGCTCGCGCGCTCACCCGCGCGGCCCGGCGACTGGCACCCGGCGCCCGGAGCCCGCACGTCACCGCGACGCGGGGGGCTGATTGGGCGCGCGCGCGCTGCGCCCGCCCCGGCCTCACGCCTCTCCGCGCGCGCGCCCCCGGCCGACGGCGCTCGCGATTGGCCCGCGCGCGCACGCCGCCGCCGCCGCCGCGCCGCGGTCGCGCAGCCGCGCCCGGCGTCCCCGCGGCTCCCGGCCGCCGGCCCCGGGACTGGCCCTCCGGACTTCCGCCCCGCGCGGGCCCTGCCCTGCTGGGCCGGGGCGTCTTCCCGGCTGGCTGTCCTGGCGTCTCGCTCCTCCTCCGCCCCTGGGATCGCTGCCTCCCGCCCGGGGACCCGCGGAGCCCAATGCTTTGCGCCCCTGTGTCCCGGCCGTCCTTAGGAACTCGGGACCTGTGGCCCCGGACCCCCTGGGACCCTCTGTCGCCCCCAGCCTCACTCTCCCGTCGACCCCAGCCCCATAGGCCCGCCCTGTCGGGACCGCCGCTCATTGCCCTGAGACCTCCAGAGCCCCTCTCCCCCCGACTGTTGTGCTCCCCGGGCTTTCAGCGAGCGGGGCGCAGTAAGAAGACCCCCGAGCCGTTGCAGACTCCCGCGGTGGCTGGGCGTTGGCGAGGGGGTTCTGTGTTCCAGCCCCGTCGCCTGCTGCTGGGCTTGGGTCTGGGCCTCCGCGTGCTAGCCCGTGCTCAGAGCACTCTGGGTCTAGGGGCGAGGGGAAGACAGGCCTGCCTCTAGGGCTCAGGGGTTGGGGGCGCCACAGCCCCCCAGGGTGCCCCAGCTCACAGAATCAGGAGTGCAGGCCTCTGCTACTGACCTGACCACTAAGTCCTCCCCACCCCCCAACCTTCGTCTTTGCTTTGCACCCATGTGAAGTAGAATCGTGCTTAAATAATGTCGAGTCAGAGCTTAGATGTCTACCATTTAGCCCATTTCAGTATCTTGTTTTGCTTTGGGGGCACACCCTGCGGTGCTCAGCACTTCATCCTGGCTCTGTGCCCAAGGATCACTTCCAGCGTGGCTCAGAGGATCTTAGGTGGTGCCAGAATCGGACAGGGTCAGCTACATGCAAAGCAGGTGCCCTACCAGCCGTACTATCTCTCTGCCCCCCATCTTTTCTTTAAGCCAGAAGTTTTCCTCTCAACTTTTTACACAACTCTATTAAAGCAGCCCCAATTGCCCTGTGTGGCTCTGCCAGACTTGTGTCCTTGTTGAGAGTTATGTTGGAAAAGAGGATGGGCACATAGCAGAACCCTAATAAACATCCATGAATCAACCAATGAAGAAGATAGTTGTAGTGAAGGCCTAAGTTTCACGGGATTTGAGAATATTATTTTATTCTCCCAGAACTTTTTGTGAGCAGTGAACACATATTTATGTGTTATTGAAAATTAGAATTTCAACTTCATTTTGCTACTTCTTAGCAAACATTTTTGGTTTACCTCACTACCCAAACTTTGCTTCTAATGTTCAGTACTATTAATTTACCCACTGTTTAAATACTTGCAAAGTTACCATACCCCTTAAGAGTAGTGCTGCTTCTGCCTAGGGGCAGGCTTGAGTGGTGGTAGGAAAATTCAAAAGTGGGAAGGTGTAATGGTGGTGGGATTGGTGTTGAAATATTGAACGTAATCAATTATTGTGAACAACTTTGTGAAAATAAAATTTTTAAAAAATTACCTAATCAGTGGCTGAATAAATAGCAGTACTCCTACATAAAAAAGAAAAAAATTTAAAAAGTAGTGCTGCTGGGAAGTTGGTGTGGAACCATGGGTAGGAATAAGGAGGGATGAGGTTACTGCCAGCTGTGCAGAGTCCTAGGGTGTAGGCAGGGAACAGGATGAAGACCAGCTGGGAAGGAACTGGAGAAAGTAATGCTAGGCCAAGGCCTCAGAGATAGGATGGGGGGGGTGAGGACAGAGAAACCTGCTGTCTGAGCACCCAGCAATGTGCTCAGAAAAGACCCAGAGGAGCTGGCAGCTAAGACACAATGTTCTGACAACTGGACAGACAGTGCACTCTCTCTCTCTCTCTCTCTCTCTCTCTCACACACACACACACACACACACACACACACACACAGTACTCTCACCGGCTGCTGGGAAGACACATTGCTCTATCCTCTAGATAGTCTCTGACAACTGGATGGATAAAATGCTCTGTCCTCTAAACAGTCTCTTGACAGCTGTACAGACAGTGTTCGCTTGCTCTCTCCCTCTCCCTCTCCCTCTCCCTCTCCCTCTCTCTCTCTCTCTCTCTCTCTCTCTAACAGCTGGACAGGCTCTCTGACAGCTGGACGGGCAGTACTGGCCCTTACATCCCCCCAGAACTGTGGGTGAAAAGAGTAGACCTGTCTCAATCAAGGGATGTTCTCAGACTCAGTGGTCCATTGCCGAAATGTGACAGCCCGAATGGTCCTACTCAAAGTCCATACACTAACTCAAGGAGCTCCCACAGACTCAGAGGAGATAGCTTCACAGTTGCCGGCCCATATGATTCAGAGGGACTTGATGTGGCTCAGAATCTCTACACTTGCAGTGCATGTGTTCCATTCAAAGCACCACCAAAAACAGTCACAAATAAGTTAAAGGTGGAAGAAGTTTCCAAGTTAAAAGATCAGAGTAAAACTTAGCATCAGCATTATTGGAGTTAATACAGATTATATTCCAGTCTAAAAGTAAGCTTCCTTGGTCGGAGAGATAGTACAGCGGGTAGGACACTTGCCTTGCTCTAAGTAGTCCCAGGTTCCATTCCCAACAAATACACATGATCCCCTGAGCCTCATCAGGAGTGATGCCTGAGCCCGGAACCAGAGTAAGCCCCAAGAACCACCAGATGTGGCCCAAAAACAAATTTAAAAAAATAGAAGTTTCCAGGATTTGACTTACATATAACTTGTTTTGTGACTAGATAAAAGAATATCTTTGGACCTGAGAGACATAAATAAATAATAGAATATAGGGGTCAAGGTATCAATCAAGTTTCTCTCAATAGTTTAGTAACACACACAGTTAAACAGAAAAGCAATAGGAAAACTTTAGTTGCTAAATCTAGGTATAGTAGGAGCGTTTGCAACTTTTCTATAAAGTTTTGTCTTCAAAACGAGGGCCAAGAAGATTGTACGGCAGGTAAAACACTTGCCTTGCACAATGGCTGTCCTGGGTTTGCTTCCCAGCACCACATAGGATTCCCTGAGCGCTATCAGGAGTGACCTCTGAGCACAAAGCCAGGTACTAAAGGCCTGAGCACCGCTGGGTGTGGCAAGAGAAGAGGGGGAGGAGGAAGAGGAAAAGAAAGAGAGTCTCTAGCACTTTGGCATTGTCATCTGGGTGTTTTGTTGACTTGCTTTGGGGTTTTGGTTTCTCTGGGGGTAATGGACCATACCCAGCAGTGCTTAAGGGCTATTCCTGGCTCTGCGCTCCAGAATGACCCCTGGTGGTGTCGGGAATTGATCCAGGGTGGGCGGTGTGCTAGGCAAGTACCTCTCCCTGTCTTATTTTCTCGGCCCTGCAGTCCTGTATTGCCCACTCACAGCTGGTATCTACCTGGTCTCTGTGATGAAGCCTGAACCCCAACCTATCTGTGTGGAGATGGGGTGTGGAGGTCAAGGCAGCAGAAGTATGGTCCATACCAGAAGAGCCCTGCTGAGCCAGAAGACAGGGAGGGGCTCCCAGGAGGGGCAGCCAGGTCTGGCCTCCTATCCCAGCTCTGAGAAAAGAAGTCCCTGGCCGCCCGCCCCCCAGAAGGGTCGCTGGAGAGAAGCTTGCTGCCCCTATTTGAACTGGAGTTTCCTCGCACCTTCTAAATTTATCTTTTCACAGATACTTCTACACTATGGAATTTTAAAAAGCAGTAAGAATTTTCTAACTTTGATCTTGGGTATTTTTCCCTTAGTTCTCCTGCCCTCTGTGGGTGGACCTCTTCTTCGTTTTCTGTTTTCTGATTTTGGGCCACACCTGGTAGTGCTCAGGTATCACTCCTGGAAGGGCTCAGAGGAGCCTGAGCGATGCTGGAGAAGGAACCTACATTGGCTGTGTGCGAGGCTTCCCTTACCTGCTGTATTAGCGCTGCACTCCAGCCCCTGGTCTTTCCTTCTTTCTCAAAAAGCTCTTTGTTTTAAAGGCAAACAAACGAAAACTTACATTTCCACATTCTGGAAAGATCTTCACATCTCTTACTCTGCTTATGTATATGGATTGTTTCTGTTTTGTTTTTTAATTTGATCTGTTGTTTGATTTGGGGGCCATACCCAGTGGTGCTCAGGGCTTACTCCTGACTCTGTAAATGGATTATTCCTGGCAGGGTTCAGGGAACCATATGTGGTCCCTGACCTCTGTAGTTTATTTTATTTTATTTTATTTTATTTTGCTTTTTAGGTCATACCCGGTGATGCACAGGGGTTACTCCTGGCTCTGCACTCAGGAGTTACTCCTGGCGGTGCTCAGGGGACCATATGGGATGCTGGGAATCAAACCTGGGTCAGCCGCGTGCAAGGCAAATGCCCTACCCGCTGTGCTATCACTCCAGCTCCTGTAGTTTATTTTAAAATAAAATATAGGTGCAGAGAGATATGTAGCAGGTAGGGCACTTGCCTTGTGTGCTGCCAACCCAGGTTCAATCTCTAGCACCCATATGGTTCCCTGTGCACCACCAAGAGCAATTCCTTAGTGCACAGTCATCAGTAACCCCTGAGCATCACCAGCTGTGGCCCAGAAACAAAACAAAACAAACCAAAAATATTTTTAATTAAAATAAAATAAAATATAAACATTGTACACATTGTTACCTTGTTGAATTTTCTTTCTTTCATTTTCTTTCTATTGAATTGCTGTGAGATAGACCCTTATAAAGCTGTTCATGATTAGGTACCAACAGCGCACATTTCCCAGAGCCAGTGTCCCCATTTTCCCTCCCATCACCCTCCA